TTTTTTTTTGCAATAACGGACCCTATTTGCACAAATTCATAAAAGCGGACCCTGGTTGAAAGAATGTGAGTAATTTTTTCACAATTTTACGAAAAACGGACCTTTCACAAAATGTCTGGACAGACCCCTGATAGGGCCAATATCGACTTTCGTGGCGCCAATATAGAACCTATCTTGGCTAAAAAATGAATACTATAAAATATCGAGTGAATCTGACAATTCTATATGGGGCCTATATTGGTTGTAAAGTGGCTCTAAAATATCGGGTGAATCGGACAATTCTATAAAGGGCCAATATCGGAAAAATAACGGCCTTTTGAACCCTTATTTAGCCAAGATTCGTGAATATGTGTCCAACGAGGGCCAAGTTATTTTGATACTAAGGAGTTTGCAATAGGGAAAAAAAAACTTCTGAAACACGATTGTTTAAATAATTTTGTCCACCAAGATTTTTGTAATTTTTACATAAAGTGAAAGCAATGAAAATATATTTTAACTCGGATATATGCTCTCTAAAAATTAATTTTCTTTATCGTACTGATATTAGAGAAGTACTAGGTCTTTTAATTAGGAATTTAAAATTGGACGAGGTAAACTCTGGTTGATTCGAGAGAGATATCTTAAATATCTTTAATAATTGTTCGAGAGAGATATCTTAAATATGCTAATTAATTAATATCAACTATAAGCTACAAAATCGATTTCAATAGATTCCTTTGCCAGTTAAGGCAAATACAATACTTTGAAAAAAAAAATTTTTTTCCAGGGCAGATTCGTATTTCTCAAAATAGGGTGGTCATAGTATGGAAACGGGGTCCCAAAAGTACAGCTGATAAACAGTCATAAATTTGTGAACTGAATATTACATATATTGCGCTTTCCTATCTCTATGATTCCCGTAATATATATTTTTGCAATCCTTATCAAAATATTTTAAAAGGTATCCATATTAAGTGCCTTAAATTACTCATCTAAAGCGAAGAAATAAATTGTTGATATAGTAATGCTCTCCAACACCTCAAAAAACCATAAACTTTAAAGATTCTTTACATTTGTGGACTATGACAAACAGTCATAGAAGAGTGAGTCAAAAAAAAGCTTTAAATCATTGATACTACAATTTCGCTATGAGCAACCTCGATTTTAAACTATGCCACTGATCTCATTTTAATTAAATATAATTAAGAACGGTAAAAACCAATCTCATCTACTGGATCGTCGGTTTTATGTACTCTATTAATCGACAAATGTGCCACCCCTCTGCTCCGATATTCTGTATCGATGTCTAGCGACTTTTAGTGACAATACCACTTCTTAATTTACAACCCTCAAGCCAGGAAATTAAAGAAAATCTAATGAATCGTTTCCGTTTAAAACGGGACTGAAAACAACAAAGCTTACTTGATTTCCAAAGGAAACGGAAGAGAATTGAAAGGCTATTATGAGAAACTAAATACCCAACAAATTTATACTGGCAATCAAACAGGTTTTTATGTTTTTACACCTGCCTTCCTAAGAAATAATTTGGCATATTTTGATAGCTTTTTTTAAAGATATTAATTTTCGACCTTTAATGTGTGTACTTATAAAATTCAATTTTGCTAAGAACTCTAAAAATGCATATTAAGTGCGGCTATTATACAAAATATACATATACTTAAAGGCATCTTCATACCATAAAGATTGATTGCTTCAAATTTATTAAGCCTGGGTCTTTTTTTTTTCTTCCTATGGGCTGCCTAATAAAGTATTTCATTAAAAGAAGATTATTCTAAAATAATCTTAATGATATTTATTGAGCCCATACCTAAATAGGAATTCTTGAATGTACGGAGAGCATCTTTTCCATTATAACTGAAATAAAGTTTTATTTAATTTTCACATCGCCTATTGTCACTAAATAGTCTTATCTTTTCTCACCCTAATCAACTGATTATTTTTTCTTCATTTTAATATTTCCCCCTTAAATCAGTTCCAGTGTAATTTATTTTTCGAAAATTTTTTGCAGATTCTATTAAGCCTATATTCATAAAAATATGAATCATCAATTTTCCTAATGACTCGTTCACCACGCTTAGGGGGATGGGATAAAGAAGTTTTACTAAAGAGAATTTAATTCATTAAAACCTTTTCATTAAGCTCTCCCCTGTGAAAGTTATTGTTTTTCTCACCCAAATATTGATTTATCGTGTGTGTAAATTAAAAGAACAGGATGATGCTTTAAAGTTCTTAGTGTAAAAAAAGAAAGAAAAGGGAATCCAGAATTGTTGAATAAATTCCAGATTTAATTATACATTTCCCGCATTTCAATTATCCTGGATTCGAATGAGTTCATGCATCATTAGAGAAAAATAATTTTTTTCCTTCCAATTGGAAAAATAATATTAATTTCATGACAATCATTTAAAAAGAAAACGTTTAGTTGTTTTGGAAACAGCTGATTTTTATTTTCTTATAATTAAATTAAATTTGCGGTTACTTCTAATGTTTTTAAAATGAGAAACTTTCTTTTGTGAATAAATAAAAAATTAAGTCTCAATTTATTTTAATGAAATTTTAAATCTGTAAATAAATTATCAGATTTAATTTAATGATTTATTCTTAAATCCAAAATAGGTGTTTCATCTCTTACCCCTCAGAAGCTATTTTTCAGGTATTGTCGTGAAGTATAAACTAAAACTAGGTCGATTTAGAGGGAAACAGATTTCCTTTCCTATTAACCAATAAACAATCACTTTTTAAGCATTTTGTTCCTCAATTAATTATTAATCGTGCGTCACGTTTTGTTTCATTTGCATAAAGTTCTATTTAATACCCATGAGACGTTCTGTGGGCGTTTCTTTCCATGACGACAAACAAATTTGTATCCCTCAACTTTTCCATAGTATAGAGAAAATCGATTTTGTTATATTATGCTTTTTAACCAAAAATTAGCTTAAAGCGAGTTAGACCGTATAAATTTATGTAACTATTTAACATTATCGAAATATGCTGTTTTATTGTAGTTTAGGGGTGGACAAACTTTAAAGGTTGTTTTCTGACTGAAAATTTTCAGTGAAGGGCCTGAAAGCGCAGCAGGTTGACTATATAGAAGGGCCGTATGCATGTTTATAGTCTTACTGGCATCAAATATAATAATTTTTATGTAAATATATTAGTGTTCTAAGAACTAAATTTTTTGTCAGTAAACTTTTTATCCCCAATATATATATTGGGGAAGGAAAAAAAATACTTAACGTATTTTAATGAGTAATATAAAATTGAATTAAATATTTTAATTAAAGAAAATTTGTAAAAAAAAACCAAAAATTAAAACAATTCAATTATAGTACAAAATAAGTTTCCATTTTTATTTGGTGTTATACTTCAAATATTATTTCTATTGCTTGAATTTTTAGAGGTTTTATAAACTATAAATAGGAAACGTTTTGTTTTTAAAAAAAATCCCCTAAGCTATAAATTATTTTTTTTAAAAATTACTAACAGTGAGAAAATTCAAGTTTTCCTCCACGTTTTTTAATTTTTCTTGTTGCAATAATATTCTATTAAAAATTAAAGTATCGGAATTCTAAATGCCACGTGCAAATGTATTTCTCTAACCGCCGAAAAATCGACGGAAAAAAGGCACAATGAATAATGAATAAAGTCGGTGAAATAGGCACAAATAAATTTTATCAAAAAGTTATTATTTAAATGCGCGATTAAATAAATCGTGGGTCTTAATGATATCATAGTTAAAATAAGGGGATCGTCAAATTCAGGTGAAAAAGCATCGCAATAATTGAAAAAAAAAAGCTTAATTGCTTTCATTTACGATGAAATCAGCATAAATGAAGCTAGTCTGTAAGTAATAATTAAATGCATGCTTTAAAATTGGAATGTCGTTATAAAGATCGGAATTTTTATACCACCGAGGAATGCATCGTAAAAACTGCCTAAAAAATAATTGAAAAGTGATGTGATGTTCGATAAAATCGGCAAAAAGAAATTTCGTCCAAAAAGTGATAATTTAAATGTGCGATTTGAAACTGGCATGTCGTAATAATATTTTAGTAAAAATATGGGATTTTCAAAATCACACAGAAAAACGTAGCAATAATTGCCTTAAAAAAAAATCAGAAATTCAGGTTTATGATGAAATTGGCGTTAATAAAACATGTCAAAAATTTACAAATTAAATAACTCACGCGTCGTAATAAATGTATTGGAATTTTAAAAACCACATGAAAATTGCTAACTTATAAATGCTATAAAAAAACAATCGAAACGTCACATGAATTTACGTTTAAATCGGCAACAATAAAGCTACTCAAAAGGGGATTTCTTAAATTCACGTATCGTAATATTGTATTCGAATTATTGAGTTTTTTTAAAACCATGCAGAATTTTGTAGCTATAACCGTTGAAAAAGCGATCGAGAAACAACGTAGATTTACGGTAGAATCTGCGTAAATTAAGCGCATCAGAAAGTAAAGACTAAAATTTGCAATTTAAAAAATACATTTCTTTATTTTTCAAAAAAAAAAAAGTTTTTTTCATTTTCTTCAGAAGCTTTTGCGGGCCGCGCACATCAACAGTAGGCCGGCGGCTTGTGGGCCGTAGGTTGTGCACCTCTATTGTAGTTCGATTTCCTCTAAAATTAAAACTTTTAACTAATTATTTTACCATGTCATCATTTGTGATAACAATATTTAAGTTTCCCTCCATTTACCACTTTTCTGGAGAAATCCGATGTGTGATATTTTACAACTTACTTGAGAAGGATATTTCAATTTACCAATGGATAGAACTTTTTTTTTTTTAGGTTTAAATCCTATTTTTACTGTCTTAAATACAATTTTAAAGCATAAATTTGAAATTTCTCGTATGCTCGTGACCTCCTTTTCCCTAAAAAAAATGGATACACTGTTAAATCATAGCTCTTTTTAGGAATAAATTTATAATTAAAAGTGTTGATTAACTTTAGTTTGAAACTAAATACAACGTTAACCTTCTCCTCAATTTAGTTAGTGCATTATTTTCTGCTTTTGAAGTTAAACATTAAAGTTAGTATTCCAGTGTTTAAATAAGATAAGGAAGAATAGCTTCATTTTATGTTTTCGACTGTCATTAAAATAAAAACCTGCTAATGACTTATAATAGGCTAATAGTGTATTTTAGTTTTTAAATAAACTTTATTAAATATTAATAAATTTCTTTTTCTTTCAGTCGATAAGATCAACAAGTACTGCAATGCCAAAATCACTGCCACAGAAGGGTACATTATGCAACCAGGGTACCCTAAATACTATCCTCAACTGCCAGAATGTAGTTGGTCTCTATCAGCAGCTGAAGGACAAAAAATTAATGTTAAAATCTTACACCTTCACCTAAGTGCTGCTACTGAAGTGGTTCCGACTCCTGCGGACCATGAGGATAAGTTTTATGCCATTGGTGTTAGCCAATTAATTAAACCGATCATCAAATGTGACAGAGACTCTTTGAGTGTGTTTGAGGGAAATCTGAAATTGTTCTCAGTCTGTGGACAGAGTTTAGATGGTTTAAGAAATGCGAAAACTGATGCAAGTAATGATTTAGTGGTGAAGTTCCAATCCTCTGAGCTAGCCCCTTCCAGCGGATTCTTAGCTTATTTTAAAAGTCAGTGAATATTTTAATTGTACTTTTATTACTGAATCTCAATCATTGAGATAAGAGTTATATTTTACAGCGGGAAAATAAATAATTTTTAATTAAATATTTTTTATTTTTTTTTGAGAAAGCAAAAAATGTAGAGGTATCAACATTAAAGGACCATTCTCACTGGATGCTATTTTTTGAGAACAAAACAAATAGCATCCAGTGAGAATAGATTTTGATGGACCCTAAATTTCGAACACTCTCCTTCTTAAATTATTATAATAATCGATCGAATAGTTCCTGAAAAATCGAATTTAAAAAATCCGTCTTTTTCAAAATTTGATTTCTTTTTAACTGTTTGACCGATTTCGCTCAAATTTTGAATTTTGCCATTTAAAAATGCATTTTTTGAAATGATGTGAAAACTTGTATACTTGACAATTAAAAATTTTTTTCATTAATTATTTAAATAATAGTCTAATATTATCTTTGGATAAACAAATTTCATTATTCCGTGTAAAAAAAATTTCAATTCGCTTAAAAAGTTCTCGAGATATGTTGAAGTTCACAAAAACTAAAATTAACGTTGTGGTTTCCAAACTTTGAACCGCTCAATGTTAATTTTAGTTTTACTGCGAACATATTTTTTAATGAAGTCTAATATATTGCTAGAACACGATTGTATTATTTATCTCCATTGTAAATTTTTAAAATCTTGGATGCTTATTTGGTTGAATTCTTTATGCGATTGTAACTTATTCAAAAAAAGTATCTTATTTTGATTTAAAGTATACAAAAAAATAAATATTTGAAATTTTAAAACATTTAGATTTGTGAAGTGTTTCCTGTATTTTTTTTCCTATTCATTATTGCATGTATATATACTGGGTATTTTACTGCATTAGTTATGAAACAAATTTGCATAATTCTCCCCATTAAATTTATTTTATATAAAAATTAAAATCCATGTTCTATTTGTATTTAGTTGAAGGTTGTCCAGACATGCCTGCTGGTGAACATAGTTACCTTGTGGAAAGGAATAGTACTGCAGCTATTTATGCTTGTCGTAATGACTTAGTGTTCAACGATACTTTGGAAAATACACGCTTTCTATACTGCATTCGTAATCATCATTGGAGTAACACACTTTCACCCTGCATTCGTAAGAAGACTTTATGTTATAGTTTTTCCTTACTTTTATTGGACCATTTTATTTATTTCGATTGATATTGTCATGTTTTTTCATATACAAAAGATTATTACTACAATATATTCTGTGAAAATTTTTTGCATTTCTTTTAATAATATCCAGGTTTTTTGGTAAATGTAATAAATTATGCATATTTATCACTCTAACAAGTTATTATTATTAATTGCCAATAAAATTTGGTTAGTGTAATTAATTGGACATAATTTATTGAAACTTAAAAATTATGTTAACGTAATTTTTAAGTATCTATGTTCTGTGTAATAAATTTGTCCTTGAAAAGATTAATAAATAAGGAATCACGTGAAATACAGATTTTTACTTATATTTTAAGCTAAAAAAAAAATAACTTTAAAAGTTCTGTTTTCCACACTTAACTAAGATAAAAATGCATTAGCATTCCAAACAAAGTTATTAAAAAGGAAGTCATGAATATTTATGTATAAGTGAATTAAGACATTTCACTTTTCTTATTGGTTTATAGAAACAAAATTCATCTGCATTATTCAGTATATTTCATTGACATATCTTCATTTTTTTAGGGGTTCCTACTTTTATAGTAGAACAATCTTGTTTTTTTTTTTTTTTTTTTTTTAAATTNTATTTTTTTTTAAGTATTTTTATTAAATAATGATTTTTTTTTCAAGATAGAATTTTAATTACAGTCAACATTTCAAAAACTAATGAATGTCGGTGTCATAAAAAGACTTCTACTTTTTATGAGCTTCTTAATTCTATGACAACTCAGAATGCCATTAAAAGACTTAAATAAATCATTATCTGGATAATTATCCCTTTTAAACATAGTACTTCATATTGTGAAATTCTTGACTATATTTATCTTTTATTACTATTTAATACACTGCACTTGGCATGGAGAATAGTGTTTTCATTTGATGTATGACAAAATAATGGCATGTCCTAACAATGCGATTTTCTTTTCTTTAATTAAAACCTTCCTGTGTTTAAAACTTCCTCATTAATTTATGTTATAGGTTACACTTCTGTTAATTTATTCATTACTTTACCCCTATTGTTAATCGCAGGAACATATCAAACATAAGGTAATGAATGACCCAAATGAAATGTCAATAATTTAAAATGAGTATTTTTATTTAATGTATGATGTAAAACCTGTGCAATTAACACACAATCCATTCAGAATTTATGTTAATTTTAATTTCAATGAGAAGGATTAACATACTTTAAGTTGTACATAATTCAGCTTATTAATCAACAAAATAAATATTTTAATCTTCATACTTTATTAAATTTAAAATATTTTATTTTAATGCAAAAGAAATATTATTTTTATTGTTATGAAAATATAAATCCTAACATACACACATATATGTGTGTGTGTGTATGTACACTTATATTGTAAGTTATTTATTTAATCTCAGGTAGCATGTAGGAGTAAAAGTCAGATCATAGCAAAATATGCAAAAAGTAAAATTAACATTAAGGAGTTCAAACTTTGAAGATAGTGGCTGTACAAGAACAAATATTTTTACAGCTCTATTATTAATAATTAATGTTATTTGTTTTCAGAAGTTGTAGAGGAAATCACTTCCATTTCAATATTGTCCATCACAGCCAATGAACAAAATTTAGAAAATACTACCTCTCAATCATTGAATGAATCCTACACTTACTCTCCAGAACCAAGATTTACAGAAGGTAACATTAATAAGTACTCTAAAAGAAGGAATAATGCAAAAATTAATGTAAATTGCACATTCATTTTTTTTTCTTCTTCTACAGATATTATGATACCATGTATAATAATCGTCATTCTGATTCTTGGAAACAGCATTATAATCATCATCATATGTGTAATGAGAAGGTAACATTTAAATACTTAAAATTTGAACTCTTATTCTTCCATTGTTATTCACAATGTTGTGTACTTTTTTTTTTTATTTGCCTAGCTGAAACATGGCATTCTAGTTAATTAATTCGTTATAATTCATGTTTTAACTTTGGTACCTGAACAAGTATTAAAATTTCATAGTCATGTCCTATCAAACAATTTAAAAGAGTACAAAATTTTATTTCACTCTGTTTGTATTCCCTTTTTTATGTGATGATTTCTAAAGTAAAATGTAATTAATTTTTTACTAGGGAAAAAATGCATTTTCATAGTTTGTGTTTAATTTTGGCTAAAGAAAGTTGGTTGTAAGAGACAAGAATATCTAAGACTTCTTTAAAAAAATATTTGGCATATTTTAAGAGTAGGTCTTTCAGAAGCTTATGGTAAGGTGAAATCAGTTTAATGACTTCCAAATTATAATTTTACCCTGCTATTTGCTTTTTTTTTTTTAATTTCAAGTTGTTATTTCGTACAGATCAAAAGTAATTTTTTTTAATAAAAACTGAAGTGAGTGAAATCTCATTTTATTTTATTCTTTTATTTAGGAAATGAACTAAACTTTTAAAAAGATGAAGTGGATGGCATGATTAGAAATTAAATTTTATTCAGGATTTAAATTTCTAAAAAAATATGAGACCCAAGTAAAAATATTGATTAAGGTTTTTAAAGTCACAACTTTAAAAACAGGTTTTTAAAAAGCTAAATAAAATGCATTCGTTCTAAAAAATTTTATTTAACGAATTCATCAGAGTTCAGCAAGTTCAAGTTAACTAGTGAAAGATTGCATGTGATTTAAAGAGTATTAAATTGAGTATTTCAACATTTACAACAGTTATAAATGTTTTATTATCAAAAGAAGAGTAATAAAAAGTTTTAGTACTCATTCTTGTCTATGGACATGTCAAATAAGTTTTAGATAATATGTACTCTATGCTTGAGGAGACTTTTATATCCTTTACTATTATACTGTTGTTTTATTATTTGTTCTAATAAACTAACAATATTAAAATAAGACGTCCCTTGCATAATATAAAATGGTAAATATTCTTAGTAAATATTAGATCTTTTAATGCACTTTAATTAAATCGTTTTTGAAGCTGAGTTTACTAAATTAATTCAAATATTCATATTGAAGCTTATAAAAAAATCTTAAATAGGGAATGAAAATTACATAAACTTAACAGTTTTTACATTGCCTATTTTCAATATATATTTTTTCAATACGTGAAATTGAAAATATAAAAGTTTTTAAAAATAGTACTGATTAAAAACATTATATTTTAATAATTTATCACTTTCTCTCGTTCCTGTTAATTTTTTCTTAAATTTGGAGGAAAGAACTAAAATTGTCATATTATTATAAATTAATGAATCTGAGCAATAAATGAAAGTACTAATTACAAAGTTTGTGGAATTATTAGGTTTTCAAAAAATTAGTATATCAAATACGCGTCATTTAAAACAATGTAAAAAAAAACCAACAGCAATGCCCATTGTTATAAATTAGTACTAACAATTTGAAAATTTAGCACTTATGATTAAAAAAAGCATTGCTGTGCTACTAAGAATATGCTAAGATACTTACAAAAAAAATTTTATTCATAATTTTAGCACCGTATCTTGTTCTTTGAATTGATTGATGCCTTGAAATAACAATGTTAGGGTTAAGGCCCTATATCAAAACTTAAGTTTGCTCTCTCCCTTATGAAGCTTAAGCCTTCATCTTGAATTTACTGAATGGCCGAAAAAAATCAGAATTATTACTATTTAGTGAGATATAGTTTCCTAAACACTTTTTCTACGCTGAATCGAATGACATTAAAACTAAGCCTTTGAGGCAACTAGGTATAAAAGATTTTGTAAGTAAAGTATAAAAAAAGTATACTTTTAAAAAAAATTATTACTAACTTATGCATTAGAAATTCTTATCAAGACATGTAGAATATAAACAAATAAAATATTTACTCTAAATTTAATAAAATCAAAGTAAAGTTAATAGGACTAATAATTTAAAAGTTATTGGAGTTCTTATGCATAAAAAGTACAGATTTGTCCTTATATCTATCTACCTCTCATACATTGTTATATGGACAAGTATCCATACTAGGCACAAATTACAACTTTTAAAACAACCGTCTTCCCTAATTATTTACTCATTCAAATAGGAACTGGCCTATAATGTGTATGTTTTCTAGTTAAGGCTTGCAATACAGTATATGTATAAACACACAATGAGTTTAATAATTGTAAAAAAAAAAAAAATTTTTAAATAAATAAAAAAAATCATTTATTTTTCTAATGTTTATTACAATTAAATGCTTCTTCAATATTAGTAGAAAATCCCCATTCATGTTTTTCTTATCTTTTATTATATTTCTTTTAAAATTCTAATCAAAGTATTATTTCAGAAATAAAAAAGAAGATAAAGAAGAGGATGATGAAGCAGAAGATTTAGGTGAACCTAGCAATGCCAACCCCTAGTCATGACATGTCTAGAGCTTTTCATTTTTAGTTTAAGTACAGGCTAAGAAAGCAAATCATAAACTTCAGTATTTCTTTCAAAAAGCAGCAAAGTGAGCAGACATTTTTAAATATTTTAAGGACATATATTCCTGTACTGGATATTAATATACATAAATTGAATCTGTTTCCTTCTGTTGCACACCCTACATCTAATTAATTATTCCAAATATTTTTCCCTCTTATCAGAACATTAAAAATTAAGTTCAATGCTTTCCAAAAAATAAAAACGGCCTTGTTACTTTTAACTAATAAATATGAAATCCATTTATTTTTTTAACTTATAGAAACAAGTTAAGAATTAAATGAGTGTAATAAAGTAGTTTTTAAGAAACATATTTTTTTTTTTGACCGCTCAGCATTTTCTACCAAGAATCTTTTGAAAAATTCCATTGTTGAATTTGTTCGCGTTACAGTTAGTGTGCTGAGATTTATTTTTACATGTATTCTTCGGTCCATATCATTTATGCCTTTTGCCAGCGATCATTCAATTTTTATAGAAAGCTCTGCTAAAAATAAAGAAAATATGTAAAGCTATAAAATTAATAAAATAATTTATATATATTTATTGGTTGGCAATGTGCTAGGCATAATATGTTTCCTTGAATAACACAAACCAACAAATATTTATTTTGTGAGGTGACAAAAACTTTCAAATGAAAACAGTTTGCCATATTGAGCATTTTAACAACAATGATTACAGTGTTTTAAGAAAAAAATTCACTTTGTTGTCTCAAATTTTTTTGTGACAATAGATTTTTCATTTTCATCAAGAAAAGAAGCAATTTTATTAAGACATGTACATTAAATCTAACTTTGATGAATATCCAAAATCTGACTGAAATTTTATATTAAAAATCCAGTACACATTACACTAAATATAATGTAATGCCTAAAACCCTAAGCAAAAATTTTATTACAGTAAGCCTGTGTAATCTGAAAGTTTTGAATGTCATTCTACATTATTTGTGATATGTAACTATATTTGATGTTAGCGCTTGAGCGTTAAATCTTTGAATTTCTCTACACAAGTCCTTTTTACACTGTCATTATGTATTTTTCTTTTTCTAAGGACTAAGTAGTTGATGTTTAAAAGCAAATTTAACTTCAATGCAGATAATTTGATAATTTCATTGTACATATATTCCATCGTTTCAATGTCATACAAGTGGGGCCCAAAGACTTAATTGGACTTTGCCTTTTAGTGTATTAATTGAAAAAAAACAAGCTAAATTTGTTGTTTTGTATTATAATATGGACTGTTCTTGTATCTTTAGTTTTTATATTCTTTTCAACTACACTATTAGTCTCAAAACTATTAGATTAAACTTAATATCACAAAAAAATATATCAGCCCAGAAATTTTTTTTTCAAATTCGATATTAGATGTATCGATTGTAAATAATTTGGTGTGAAAGGATTTCAAATCTAAGCTTTTTTAGTTAATTAGAAAGACAGATCTTGTCATTTTTTTAAGAATTCTAAATTATACATTTCTACAAGCGCTTCTTTTTTAAAAAAATATTTAAAGCTTAACAGTTGAAAAAGTGTTTTTATTAAACCAAAACGCTTCCCAATAAAGTTAAAAGCTTGTAATAAAAGTTTTGCCCAGATCTCTGTGTAACTTATAAACACAAACCGATAAATAATTGATGTATATTTTATGTTCAAAGAATTGAACATCATAAGTTATTGTGACTAAGTAATATATAAAACAAGGAGATTTAAAGAGTGTTTTCGGAATATTTGTATATAAAAGGTTTATATAAGTATTGAAAAATTATTTCACAACTATTTTGTTTTTGTTTTATATTTGGTTAAAAAGCAAAGTTGTGTAAAACTCTATTTTCTTTAACAAATTACTGAATTTTTATATTTCTTATTATAACACGAAATTTATCAAATTAAAATGGCTATATTTATCTATGATATTGTAATTCCATTAACTGTTTGATATTGTTATAAAAACTATTGAAAGAATTTTGCATTTTAATATTTCGTATAAGTGCAGTGTTTAAAAACATATGTCAAAATTATCTATTATAATAACCTAAAACGGTTTATTTTTATCTTAATATTTATGGACATGTTTATATCCACAAAAGTATAACAAATCAAAAGAAAATATTTAATCTTTAATTGCGATGGTGAATAAAAAAGTAAAGGCTACTTTTGGAATGACATGGAAGTAAGAATTTGCATCAGTCTTCCATAGAATTAGTGTCGCAAAGAAAAATAGTTATGTGTAGGGCATTATAAAACTAAAAGGCATCAATTTAACGTTGACAAAAAAAAATTCCAATACAAAATATTTTAAGCAACGTTAGAACATAATCCTTTACTTAAACATAATAAAAATGCCATTCCAAAATTGAATTGAGAAATTAATAGAAATGGTGAAATAGAAAAGCTACAAATCCATGAATGAAAAGAGAAAAAATATTTTTTAAGAATTGGTTTAACTTTTTTGCTTAAAATTCGAGCAAAGCAAAAATACTTAGTCTTCAAAATTTTTATTCAGAAGCAATATAATCTCATTTTGTGGGCAGAGATCTATTCACCAATATTTTACGATACGATACGTTGTTTCTAAAACGATGACTGCATTAAACTGTGGTTGTCATATGACAATGTCAAACACAGATTCTACTAATACAATTGTTGCTACATATACTCCTCAAATAAATATCTCTTGGCAGTGCGCATTATGTTATTATACAGTATTTAGTGTTCCTTCCTCCTTTGTCAAAAAAGGCCTATTTACTAACTTAACATTAAGTAACTTTAATGGTATCTTATTTTTTTTCTTCAAGATTTCTCCAGTTATTGGGACAATAGATATTTTTACTTCTTTGACACTTCAAGTATGCAAGTGTAATTATCAAACACAAATGTATTTAAGCAACAAAAAAAAGCCTTTTCTTTTTTATTTTACCATTACATGTTACAAATTTTAGATATTTTTACAAAAATGTGGTGCATTTATAATAATGGCCTTAAGTCATGCATATTTAAGTCAATCCTTTTCGTGTAGCCTATTTGTCATATTGAATTAGATTTCATATATTTTGAACTACAACTTTATTATTGTTATAGTATTCTTCATCAAGAATATTTTAGTATAAACTAATGTTTTGCTGTGAAAAAGTAAATTAAATTTATTGCTTTATTCACATTATTGTGTTTATTGTCTAAGTAATCTACTAACATGGTACAAAACTTTCTTCCTTTTATTTAGAAAAATATAAGCATAAATAAATATCTAAAAATCATTAAAATATATATACATATCAAAAAAGGCACAGATATTTAAATGCTTATTTAGTGTTCAGAGTAACACTTATAAAAATATCACAAAACAATCCTATTTAGTTCAAAATTATATGGTATCAAAAGGAGCAGTTTCTGGTACAAAATAAACAATCCCAAGTAAGAATGATCGTTAAGGTCAATTGTAAAATATAATTAAATTCACATTTGAAGAAAGCCTTAGCATCATGTAAACCTGTGTAGTACTTAAAAAGTCTTCAAAGTCAAAGTTGAATTTTCTAAAACTTATAACATATGCAATTCTCTTTGCAATGTTTGGAGATTGAAGCATTTAAAGTTAAATTTAAAAACTCAGTTTCTCATATTAGAAAATTTAGCTTGAAAGAGTTATCTTGACTTATTAAAACTAACGCTAATGTCATGATCACAAACAAGGTTTTATTTGTTGACCACTGTAGCACTATTTTAATATTTATCAAGTGTCTCTCTGGTGAATTGTTTTTATTCATTAAATGTATTGAAATTTATAAAATTGATACAAAATCACAAAAAAAAATCAACTTCAAGGTTTCCAACATAAATTGAAGTACATGCTAATAACATTATTCATCAAAGATTATTCTGTGGCAATATTGTAAAAAGATGTTAAACAGAATAAAATGAGATTACAAATACTTAGAGGGCAGATGATCCCTATTTGACTTAAAAGAAGAATTAGAAAATATTAGCACCTTAACCTTATCTAAACAAACTGGTTTTAATCACAGTCGAGTATGATACTGAACATCATTGGAGGATGGTGGGTTTGATCTTTTGGCTCGTTTGACTTGGTTAATAACATAAACAGCAAACAAAACTACAACAACCTGAAAGTTAAATTTAAAAAGCTTAAATAATTGTTGATCTAATTCCATCTTAAAAAGCTTTTTAACATTTACACATGCACGAAGGCTATTTTTTAAATAAGGGAAGTTTCAAAATAAAAACCAAATTTTCATGAAGCAAATTTATTCTTTGATTCTGCATACATCTCTCTTTTTTTTTTTTTTTTCAAAATAGTTGCCAATTTTGCTTAAACACTTATCATACTTTACAACTAGATTTAGAATACCCTCTTCATAGTAGTTTGCCGCCTGCTCCGATATCCAAGAGATTACGACCGTTTTCACGTCTTCGTAATGGTTGTACTAGTTGCCAGCAAAACGATGTTTAGAACATTGGAAAAGATGAAAATCACTTAGCGCAAGCTCTGGCCTGATCAAAAAGCCAATAAAACTCTGGACTGAGCTGTGGAGAGAGTCATTATCATAGAGAAGCGAAAATTTCTGTCAGCATGGAAGTTTCATAAGCTTCAAAAATCTGCCGTTGAATGTATGCAGCAGGCAGGTTTTTTGCCGATTAAAAACGCATCGCTGACTGTACCTCATACGCGGCAGGTGATTTGTTAAATGTGAACATTTTAAAGACACATAACTGACCACATAGGATACATACACAGCTGTAATTGAGGACAGTTGTTCCCAAGGAATAACGAGACACGGCGCAAGTACTCGTTGCGACGCAACCGTCATCTATTAGTGTACACAACAAAACGGACCTTAATTAAAAAAACAGCCCTCGTATAACATACATTATTTTAGATTCAGAAAACAACAATTTTATTATTATTTGCATAATGCATGCAAGTCTTATGTGATATCAAGCTGGTAGTCTTGTGTATGTGGCAAAAAGTTTTAATGAATATTGCTTGAAATTAGCCAGGAAATGAGTGTAATGAATGGGAAAAATACTAATTTAAAAAAAAAATAAATGTTTACGGAAAGGATTGATGTATTTCTACATCATCATAAACTATCACTCCTTGAGTTCTACAAATCTAAGCATTCAATAAAATATTTCAATTATTTTTTTTTATATAAAAAATCGTAATTTATAATACCTATTTAAATTAAGTAGTACTCAGATAGTGTGCAAACAATGAAAATTGCCATAGAAAAACGAAATAAACTGGCAAAAAGCCTAGTTGCGTTTCGGAAACATGAAGTTTTGGTAAAATTAAAATTTGAAAGAGAAAAAAAACTATGCAAAGGTTGCCACATAAAAATATGAGGCTTAACATACAATGCAGATCTTCATCGTTATGCATTTGAAGGTTAAATGGGATATCAATTTCAGAATGCCATGGATGAATCACCAGTGGCATATAGAGAGTATTTGGCAAAACTAAAGGGTCAGAAGTAGCGAAACTGCTGTAGTTTTTTTCCCTTCCTAGTGCTACTTAGTGTAATTACTACGTAATATGCTACTTTTAAAAAAAAAGACGTAGTGCAGCGAGTAGTGTGATATAAAAATAAGAATAGTTTCTGTAGATTCCTGGCTACTACTTTAATGTTAAATTAAAGAAACAAGGTTCAAATCCAATTGGTACAAATCTTTGTGGGTCCCTTAATGGAGGCAATGATAATGCCCCTATGGCTGAGCGTTAATAGAAATTGCTTGTTACTAATATTTAAAGTAGTCATTACAAATAATAGCTAATTAATCACTTTAGACAAGTGAGAATGCACACTCATAAAATATTGATGTTATTTCAATGGAAGAGAACATATTTGATAATTTCCTAGCATTTCTTAAATATTTGCTGCTAAAAAAGGAATAAGAAATCTAAAAGAACCAATTCGTAAAAGATAGTTAAGAATAACTAACTGGTTCATGTAAATGTGAACGAATATTTTTTAATTCGTCCAAGTTCAAAAAAGCTAATTTTTTATTCAAAACCATTTTTAATACGGGTTTTGCAAAGTTAGTTTCCTAAAAATAGGGAGATAGTGCAGGGCCACCTCGAAAAGAGGAGTTGACAGTTAAAGTGATAGTGATCTTCAGCTCCAATATCACGCGTCACAATCCAGGTTTCAGCTGGTCTTGTGTTAGTTAAATGATGCATTGATTCTAGAGTGTCGTAAATCATTTATAAAATTGTCAAAAGTCACTTTACTTCATGACCTTCAAGATATAGATTGTACTTCCTTGTTTTAAATAATTTTCCATTCGTATATTCTTTATCAATTTCTAATATTGATTTGTAAAAAAGAAATGTTGCATATTAAAAGAATGGTAGCTTTGATAATTGGTATCATCTTGAGTGATGAGGATAAAGAATTCTAGACATTTATTTTTATGTTTGCATTAATAATTTTTAAGCTTTTGGTGTCATCCCTTTTAAAAACTTGATAAGCAATAGTCTTGTTGTGTTAAATGTACAACATGAAATATTTTTACAATATCAATCAGTTATAAAAATTAATTCTCATTAAATTGTAAAGAATTAAAATAAATTTTTCCATAACTAGTTTTCTATCTGAAGGTATTCCAACTCTATTGGTTCAAAACTTTACATTAGTGAATAACCCTTAAAATTAGTTCAAAACTTTATAACTAGTAATAATTGGATAAATCATAGTTGAATCATAAAAGGGTAATGTTGTTGTTCAACTTGTATGTACGAAAAATATAATTCGCAATAAATTATTGATAAGCAACATTTCAGCAAAATTCAATAAAGGTAAAGTGTAAAAGAAATATTTATGTACCGTCTTTAATTAATCAAAAAAATTTAATGTTTGAACAGAACACAATTAGCATTTATTAAATAAACTAGTTAGGTCTTAATACATTCAGATATTTACAACTTTTCTTAAGGATAATTTCATTTGCACTAAATTTTATAATATGTTTAGTAATTAAAGATGCAAAAGAAACTGAAATCTATGTATAAAATTTATATTATGTTTAATTAGAATAAATAAAATTCTAGTACATTTAATGCTGACATACATTTTGTATTGTATAGTAAGAAAATAGCTGAATAATAATATCTGCGCTAATTCTGTAGTTAGAAAATAGCTGAACACTTCTTGTGTGAAGTAATTTAAGCAGAAGAAAATGTTACAAAATATTTTGAAAAATTTTTGCGACTTGTTTTGAAGTTAACTGATGTTTTATATTTAAAAAGAAATTTAGTTATTTGTTACGCTTAATCTGATTTTTTATAGTTAAAATATTTAAATTTATTAAGATTTAATTTTTTTTACTCTGTTTATGATTTATATTTTGAATTATAAATATGCAGAAAGATGAAAAAGTTATTTTTTTGTGAAAGAGAGCAGAGAAATTCAGAAAACAACTAAATAAACATTGCTTCAACTGAGGAAATTCTACAAATATGTTTTTGTTGTAATGAAGCAATCTCTTTAGAACATCATTCAAACTACTAAAATCAAAACAGAAAGTGAAATAACGATGGGAAAGTGAAATAATAATAGATGGATCATGATGCATGACCTCACAAAACGAGGGGAAATTTTTTTTGTTTTGTTTTAAGTGAATATACTAAGTTCACAATATTAAACAAATTTTGTATAGATTAGTACATACTATGTATTATTATTTAGTTGACTTACATTATTATCGAATAACCAATTTTTTTAACCTCTTAAATTAACTCGGGCTGAGTTAATTATTAAGTTTGTAAGGGAGCTTTGAAAAATAATTGGCTCACTGACGTGGCGAAATATTTGTATCAAAGTAGGCGCTGAAACAAAAAGAAAGGAAGCCTATCATCTAAACTTTTGACTAGTAAAAACATTATCTACTTATTACGTTAATATTTGTTTCTATTATTAAAACAAGATTATTAAATACTATACATAACATCACTAGAGAATATCAAAAATTTATCACATAAAGAAAATAAAATGAGTAAAATACGTAAAAAATACATAAGTAAATCTTACATAATTGCTATGAGTTTTACTTCCTAGACGTTGATAACTAATTTTAAACTATAATTGTTTTAAAAATTGATCAGCCAGAAAAGCTAATATCAATAAGAAAGCTCGGGAAGACACAGTATTCATTAGTACAGACTTCATAATCATCAAGTCTATAAATTTTTAGGGATTAAAATAAAACTTCAATTTTCTTTCCAATATTTTGATCAGTTGTGAAGTCTTTTTAAAGTTTTCAGGGTAATGGTCTTAAAAACAGGAAAGGGGGGGAATCCTGTTTTAAGTATTATTAGCAAACAAATGAAAAATTATTAGCAGACATAGCATACAATTGTGGATTGTATTTTAATAAGAAATTAACATGAAGACAGAAACATTTTACTATTTTCATACGGATTTAACAGTATATCCGAGTAAAACATTTATTTAATAGAAAAATAGTTAAGTTATAGTTTAATTAAAAACCTCATTACCTGTAAAAGTAAAAGACCTCCTAAGCTTGCAATCCATATAATTTTATTGTTATAAAACCAATCTACTAATTTCTCCTTGCAGCCTATCTGTAAAATAATTGAAATATTATTGATAGTTGAAGTTAACTCATATTAATTAGGCTGAAAATTGAATGATGCTTACTCTGTTTAGAGTTTTCATTTGTACAACTGATACATCTTCATCTGATGTGACTGTGTAGTAGCAACTATCATCAATTGGATCAGTGGTGTCAACAAACTCCTGTGGTCCAATAAATCCACAGCAATCAAACTACATTAAAAAAAAGTACTAGTTAAAACTAAAGGAGAAAACAAAACTAGAAAGCTGCAGTTTGAAAGAATCATTAAAGATTAACAAAAATATTGAGAACAGATTAGCAGTCATTATAAAAAAAATATTTTGCTTTAATAATTGAACAGTATCAGCATTTTAGAAATTTATAAATGAAATGTTAAGGGAAAAACACATTTTGTGAATTGGCAGATAGCAATTAAGGATTGCAGCATTGTGAACACAAAAGAGGGAACTTAATTTTGCAGAAAATTGACTTGTCATATCTGTAAGTCCTAAGTTGAGCAAAAACGTTCATTGTGTACTTTAAAATTTTACATTTGAAGCATTGACTTTTGATGACATTGATTTAATTGAAAGATATATCTAGCAATTGCACAAATTATTGTTATCATTGGTAGTGCGACAGCACAGGGTGGGCCTCGACGACTTCTTTAGAAAAATTTTCTACACTTTTGCAAGCAATTCTTTAATTTAAGAAAATGCCTTGTTCTAAACATTCTGCCCATCATTTTTTTTTTTTTGTTCTGCCTGTCGGCTTTTTATTATGGGTAGTGGTATTGAAAATTTTCAAGGCAATTTTGCTTGATTCCATTCATAGCAGATGGACTGCACACCTCATTCTGTTTAGTCTGATTAAATTTGTAATGTCATCATTTTTTATATAACTTATACAATTCAAAATTGCATCTTTTCCACTACAAATTATACCCTAGATGGTTCTGTGGAATCTTCTTTCAAACATAAAGAGAAGCACAAACTATATTTATTTTGCATCTATTTTTAATGAATTTTCTTAAGTTAATTTATTTAAATGCCAAAAAATGTGGTTGAGGGACTCAGCTAGACAAAATTAAAAGGAGAAAAAAAAAGATGCGCTATGGATAAAAGCAACAAATCACTTAAATAAATTATTGAAATTTGCTTGGGGATTTTGTATTAATTCTATGTTGCATGAAAAATTTGGACTACCTAGTTCCTAGACTAATCAGTATCCATGTTTATCGGCTTATCTGATAAAAATAAATGCTGGAAAAGTACAAGAAATTATTTTATATACTCTGTACATTCCTAAAACCATAGAAATAAACATGTAATGCAAAAGTTTAAAAAAATTCCAAATGAATTTTTTTTAAAAAATTATTAATCTTATCACGCAGCTTAAATCAAGAAAGTCAAAATAATTAAAATCTAAATGAAGTATTAAAACCATACACATAAGCATTTGAGAAATCTATTCATTATTTTAAGTCAGCATTCTAGATTATACATACGAGTATGATTTTAAATACTACCGTTTTTGATTTTTAAAAAAACTGTAGCCAGGAAACAAAAAAGAAAATTTGTTTACAATCAATGACTCAAAAACTGCATTTTTTTGAACATGTAACTAGATAACAGTTTTATGTATGTAAACTAATATAGAAAATAAAAACCATACATGTTCTTGAACTACATTCTTGGTCATCTGATTCACTTCATTCCAAGCTGTACTAAGAACATCAGTCATCTAAAATTTAAAAAGTCTTATCATTGAACAAAAGTGAAGTATTTTCAAAGACATCCATTATAAATATTAATGCTAGAAAAACTTTAATTTGCTCATTACCTAACTAATCTGCAACCTAACAAGAGAAATCCATCAAAATGCAGAATCAAGAGTTGTCTGCAATTTTACTAAGGTAATATGCACATTTACAGTTAAAGTTCAAAACTATGTTTATCTCATTATATCAAATAATTTGTGGATCGTATTTATTCTTTAGACATTGAAAAATAAATGATTTCATTTAATGTGGAATATTTTAAGCCATTGGATAGTTATTAAAGAGATTGATTTTTGAGACAGTGAAAAATGCATAAAACGTTAATATAAGCATACAGAAACATAACTGTTATTCCAGCAAAATTCATTCTAACGAGTGCCTAGTAGGTTAATGTATAAATTATCTATGCAATGTACAGATTTGAAGATGCAGAGATTATCTAGGTAGTCAAATTAACTAAGTAATTTGAGAAATGAAATAAATTTTTGGCACTTTAATGGAACACCCAGGGGTGCCACTCTAAAAAAATTTCAAGACTAAACTTATTTTTGACCAAATAATACTACGTTGTTTACCAAACTTTTAGAAATTTACAGCTCACTGACACCAAAATTTACCTTTCCTTGATAATAGCCTACACATTAAATCAATCATTTGATGATTTTTTCTAAAACTTTTTTTCTTTATTTTATGTTTTTTTAGCAAACAAAAATAACAGTTGACCTTGCATATTTTTTTACAACTATTAGTGACCAACCTGAAATCATTCATATCTCTATTTTTTACTTCAGCGTACTTATTTTTTGTTCTAGCACTATAATTTCTTTCTTTTTTCAAAAAGTAATCTTGATTTAACCTTGGCCAGCATGACAGTAGGTTAGGGTGGGGGAAGCAAACTGGAGCAGATTTAGATTCAGCAATAGTACAAATTTAATTACACAAGTAGATTAAGTTCAATCAATCCCATTTGTCAAGACTTAGAGAATAAGATTTGGTGAAGCTGATAAAAAGAAGATAAATAAAAGTCATGACATCATTACCAAATCATATGTTTTCATTAAGATATAATATTTTTTAATTTTGACCCAAAAAAATTGATAAGATTAATTGATAGAATTTATAAGTTCATTGATTTTTCTCAAGACTGATTTCAGTCCCCAGGACTGAAGAGTCACACCTATGGGAACACCCTATATGCACCTTAGCTAGATAATCTGTAGAATAACTGATTTCTACACTTAAGCAGTAACATATATACAGAACTACCAACTTACTGCTCTTTTTATGATTTTTATTCTAGCGGTATCAAAATGTGTTTAAATAGTTAACTCTTAGTTCAGTAAATTTAACTTTAAAGTTGATTTCTTGGTAGGAAAAAAAAAACAAAGTAATTTAAACATTTATAAATAAATTTCCACTTCGTTATTGAAGCTTGCAAAATGGTGATGAAACTGAACCAAATTCTGTAAATCTCTACAGTTTTATGAAATCTTTTGACGAAAGCAGAGCATTTGGTCTATTCATTAATTAAGTGGTACATATTAAACTGCTAAGATCTGAAATAAAAATTTTATTTCCTTTTATTGAAAACAATACTTGGTGTCGACCCTGATGTTTTGAAATAAACTCAAGATACAACTTATTTTTGAAATACATTTTTTAAACTTGAAAAATACTTTATAATTCACAACTGAAAGACAAAGAGCATAGAAATCAGATTGGATCCAAGCATTAATTATTTGAACTTGATAAACACAGTATAAATAAAGAGAAAATTCAAAACTCTTAAAATAATCTCCATTTTGTAGCCCTTTACTTTCACAGGGTGCGTTTTTCACGTTTCTAAAAAGTGCTTAATTTTCCCTATTTTCAAAATGAAATTTTTCCTTTACCGTGTTGATTTTCGCTACGAATTATGCAAAAAGACACATTTCACTTTGTTCTATTCAACATTTTCACAATTAATTCAAACCCAATAAATCAATTTCAGCGTATTGTCAGTCTGTAGCATATGAACGACATTCGTTTTACACGATTCAAAATTTCATGATTTTTGACAATTTATCATTTGTTCAGAAAATTTTTAAAATCCTCAGAAGAAAATAATTCTGAATATTTAAATAAGAAATTAAAAAATTACACTTTAAAATGCTCACCTTAGTCCGAAGAACATTTAATGCAACAATACCACCAACTTCAGCTGATATCGTTAAAACAGAAAGCACTAAATACTGAAAAAAATGAATTATTAATGAATATTTAGGCAAGGAAATTTTTTATGAAAGTTTACTCAAAGTTTAATCAATAACTCGTTTAATAAAATGGGTCAAATCATAGCCTTAGTGTCTTACATAAAGACATACTACAAACAAGAAATGCATAACTGTTTAAAAAAAAAATTTCAACTTAATAGGGGATAACAACAAATGTCATACTTTTTAAACAAAAAGATTTGATCTTTACCCCTTTATCAGAAAGAGTCACACTTCACCCTATCTTAACCCCTGCCATATGTCATGGTATATTAAATACATATAAATGTGCAGTTTAGAGACATACATATATTTCAATCTTTGTTTAATCTTCAGCTATGTGTTTTAATTTAAAAAAATTTTAAAAAGCTCGAGAAGATTTGCCTTTAAACTTTTAACTAGGATTTAATTTAAACTTTAATCATGTTTTTCGATACAAAATAAAATCATTTGAAAAAAAATAAAATTTATTTTTAAAATAAACATAAGATGTCAAAAAAATTTAGTCTGCTGATTTGTAATGTTTTTGTTTAAACCAAAGTGTGAGATGTTACATTTTGTTACGCCTTCTCTTTTCTTACAATTCGTGGTACTTATCCACTTCAAGGACCATTAAAAATACCACAGTACCTATATCAATGTTTTAGGACGTAATAAATCAATATCCAATCCCTCCAATGGGTCATTTCTAGAAAGGTTTTGTACACAATTTGAAATGCAATGTTTTTCTGTATTTAGCTATAACCAAATCTTAGGCAGAACTTAATTGATATACTATGAGATAAAATTATTTACACAAATACTTATATAATTCAAAAAACAATTTATGTAAACTGAATTTACCTTTAACTGTAAAACAACAAAAAACAATTTATGTAAACTGAATTATGTCTTTCAAAACTGATAAAAATGAAGTTAGTGATTGAAATAAAAGGATTATTATTTCTATAGCTATTTTTTGGGTGCATTTAATTGATTGATCAATAGTGTAATTGATTGATTGATCAATAGTAATCAATAGGTTCATTAATTTTAACGATTAAACCCTATTGTTGTGGGTATTTCTTATCACGGAGAAAAATTGTAGTTCTAGAACTCAATTTATATATTTGTGCTCACAGCAAAGATAGGTTTCTCTAGAAATATGCAAAGCAACTATTTTTATGATAGTTTGTATTTAGAGTAGAATGGTGAAATCATTATTTCTTTTAATCTTAACTCAAAATGACTCCAGTTGTTACATTAAATACTTCGATAACACTAGTGGTATGTCTTGATTTAAAAAAAATGCAGAAGGTAAAATTTTTATGTTGGATTAGATCAAAACTAAGGCAAAAACAAAAAAAAAACAAGCAAAATATAAACAAATACAGACTTGAGTGGAAGAAGGTACCAAATGATCATCTGAAAAATTCCAGAAAGGTTGGGCTTAACATATTACGTTTATGAATACAACTAAATTTTTTCTGTAACGTTTTTAATTCGGATTTCGACAAGAAAATGTGTTTCATAAATATCTTTCTGCAGTTGCGACATTTAAACATTCTTTGACTAAGCTCTTTAAGTACGCATAGTTTCTTTTCAAAAAGAAAAAAAAAATTGATAAAAATTTTATAATGTTTATGAGATAATATCACAACAAAAACTACTAAAATGTTCATTTTCAATAATGTACAATAATAAATAGTTCAGTTGATTAAATGAACAAATAAAGTAGTATTTACAATATAAACTTACAAATTTCATAAGGCAAGTCCCTCTTTTATAAGATCCTATCCAACCAAGAATTCCTGAAATAAAACAAAGAAAGATTTAAAAAAGAAAAAATATAAAGCTTAAGGGGGGAAACAATTTATGTAAACACTTAACTAGAACTCTGCTAGAATTTCTTTTTATTACCATTGATTCTATCAATACAAAATTAATCATGCAAATCTAAATTATTTGATTTGATTACGCTATTACCCCAAAATTAGTCCCCAAATTACAAATTTTTTTTATGAACGTCGGTTTAAGGCCGTTTTTGTTTAAATTTTATCAATCATAAAGATCTCATAACTGATATTAATGGCTGGAGAATTTGCCAAAGTTCTTGTCAGTGTACTTTTGTGTATACTTTTTATATTTTTATTTTATAACCGTCGTTGAACAGCCAACCCAATTTTTTCCGTTTATGACTACTAATGTTCAACTCTGTAGCCTTGTAACTTTGAACCTAATCCAGAAGGCAAGGAAACTCCTGAATTGGGAGAAATTTGCCTTCCTGGAGGACTTTTTGATTGAACTTACCCTCATTTGCGTTGCATGGAGAGGAAAGCCTCCTATGGTTAGCCTGACTGCAAGAAGACTCTAACCTATGATCCATCTCCAGTGAGGATATTTCACGTCAGCACTGTGGTCGGTGCAAGACGGATGCGGATCTTGTGTATAAATTCTTTTTTATAACCATCATTAAACAGCCGACCCAATTTTTGGGTTTACAACTACTAATGTTCAACTACGTAGCCTTTTAATTTTGAACCCAATCCAGAAGACAAGGGAACTCCTGGATCAAGTATTTGGAGAAATTTGCGTTCATGGAGGACTTTTTTAATGGAACCAACCTGCCTTTGCATTACATGGAGAGACAGACCCCCGAGAACCTCCCATGGTTAGCCTGACGGCAAGGGGTCTCGAGCCCATGAGCTTTTTAACACTGAGGATATTTCACGTCAGCACTGTGGTCGGTGCAAGCCGGGTGCAGAATTCAAACCGACGTCATTAGAAGGCTCTATCCCCTGAGCCATCATGGCTCATCTTGTGTATACTGTATAAACTAAACGTACCCTGAAACTTTCGATTTAAAGAACATGAAATATGAGTTGAAAATAAAGATATTAAAGAGTTTTCCATCACCCTTCATAGCTGGATTTCCAATAATAGGTTTGGGCTCTTCTTCTACTAAAACCATTCAATAATACTTCTGAGTCACTGGCTTAGATTTCCGGAAATCATTTCAAATCTTGAAAAATCCTCATTAATTACCTCTCTAATGTCACATTTTCACAAAACTTTGGTTCTCATCTTTTTCCTATCACACCTTTCGTAAGATAACCTTGCTCCTATTTCCTTAACATAAATTTTTCGTTATGGTAACTTGTTTGTAATTTCTTTTTTCATCATAACTGTATGCCCCTCTTTGTTTGGCATAAAAGTAACAGTTTTGACACTGAAGACGATTCTACATTATAGATCTGAAACTATATAATGTTTGTTTTTGTGGGATTTTTGTGCTTTTCACTTTAGCTTTACTCATATTTTGCAGCTAAGTCCACCCATATTTTTAAAATAAAGCAATTATGAAATGAAAAGTAACTAATAATGAACAGATAAACAATAAAAGTAATAATTTGTGTAGTTTTAATATAAATTACTTTGATAAAGTTATCTTACCATTTAAAAAGAGTAGGGAACCAATGCATAGTACACAATAAGTAAATATCTGAAAAGAAAAATATGTTAAATCAAAAGGAAAAATCTATATATCATTTGTGAGACCCTAATCTTAACAATTTTAAAAAAATACAAATTTTATTAATATAAATAACCCATGAGTACTTGTCATGAAAATAACAAATTAATACATTTTTCTTTATTAATCTCACTTCACTTAAACGAAAAGATTATTTAGTATGCATTATTACATATTATGGGAAACTGTCCGTTTGGTATCTAATTCTACTTATTTTATAAAGTAATATTATAAGGGCTTCTACGTCACCGTATTACTCACAAGTAACGTTTATGGCAAATTATACATTCTTAATCTTCAATGGAAAATTCGCTTAAAAGGCAAAATTTTTAAAAATTGCAAAACGCTTAAACGGCACCAAAAAAATTTTTTTAATGAGGTTATCCTGATTTTTCAGAGACACAGACTATGAACTGACACTAAAGAGATGTCTAGGCTGATGTCACTTCATTTATCAGTTCACTGAAAATCTATCAATGATCAATTGATTAATTACAGATGCAAACGATAAGAATACGTTTCTATTGGAATAGTGCAAATGAAAATGGATTGTATAATAGTCGAACACCGATCTAGTTCAGCCTCTGACTCTGGAATCTCTATTCGTAGTCATCATCTGTAGCTCGATCTAATGAATGAAATGTCCCGTGGATGCATTCCACTGATTAAGATACTAAAAGTTTATCAATAATACGCGTTCTGGTACACATTTCACTTGAGCTGGCTCATTACAACTGAAAATACATATTTTTATTTATGAGCACGTTTATAGTAGCCCCAATTGCAGGTTCTGTTGTCGCATACGAAAGCATAAGATTGAATTTTACTTTTGTTACCCGTGTTTTATGCTACTTCTCAGTTTGGTATTCCTTTTTTTTTAATGGAATCCTACTTCCCTTGTCATCATTAGTCTCCGTCACCATAGCAAATTTGGTGCCATTTCGGAAGATTGATCGAGCTTTAGGTGGATCTGAATTTAGGTGGCTGTCACTTAAAAAAAAATCCTGTACATACGCATTTTAAGTAATAACTTTCTTCTACGGACTTTCTGCTATCCTGGCACTCCAATTGACCAGTCCGGTGCCTTCAAAGAATCGTTGTTATCAGCATTTTAATTAGTGCACACATTACTCAAAGACAACTAAAACGGATCGTAAAATTTTTCGATAAGTTCAGAGAACTTCAAATCCAGCTTCTTTTCCTCTATGTTGACGTTAGAGTACTGATTTAGTGATCGAATCATCAACTGGATCGATCACTTGATTCAATGACAATAAAATCAATATTTTTTTCATAATCAATACTGGTTACTACAGTTTAGAAATACTTTCATGTCAAATGAATGCAACGCATTATAAAATTGTAATTTTGCTTAAAAGTGTGGAATTCTTGAGCTGAAAAGAAAGCAAATTTAAAACATTACTCCATGTGTTTATTTAATATTTTAAATATAAATTTATAAAGGTATAAAAGGTATAATGCTCGAATCCACTAATATGAAGCATTGACTTAAATCAGTGATTCAGACTGGTTCAAATTCATCATGAGTGATTCGACTCAGTGATTTGAATCGCTTTCAAGAACTCATATGAGTGATTTGAATCACCTTGACGATTTATTTTGTCTATGTGTTCTTAACGTGTTCTTTCCGATAGGTGTAACTGTGTAACAAATTTACGAGTCGTGCAAATTTATGCACACGGCCTACATCCAACTCAGTTTTTAAATTTCCCAACACTAATGAAAGAAGAAAAATTCTTCACCCAAAAACATTTCATGGCCATTTGAAAAATATTTAATCAGGAAGAAAGCGACAGTGTGGGAAAAGGTTTCAAAGAAAGTTAAAAGCTTTCATCTCTGCGTGAGACGGACTACGACTTATTTAACATTAACCTTGTGAGGCGATCAACGATTGTAAATCACTGTATAACATCTCAATGTGAATAACAGTAAATCACTGCTATTAATGATTTCGCTTTAATGAAATATCGTGTCAAATCATAGCCAAATACGCCAAAAATCGTAAGCAGGACGCAAAATTAAGGTTGTGACGTGTCCCCTGGGACACTTAATTTTCAACAGCAGAAAAAGAAAAAAAAATTGCCGAGTACCACAGAATTGCTAAGATCTGGGCAAAATTTAAAAAAAAAAAAAAAAAAAAAAAATCCACTTCTTAACACCAGGAGGATAAAATAATTCTGTGATTATCATATTGCAGCCGTTGTTCCTTGATGCGGGTGTTTTATTAGTTTTATGTCATTAAAAGCCTTGATTCTTCAAACGAAAATCTTTCTTAGTTCTGTCTATCAATAGATGGAACACTTATATATGCGCATATTGATTAGATGGAAAAAGATAGAGAATTAATTGCTTGCAAATTATCCAGGGACAGGGTGGGCAGTGGGAGCCCCTAACATTTTATAAATAAAGGGACACAGCTCCTTCAAAAATTAAAATTTTTTCACTCAATATTTGTGTCATTAAATTTACAATTAATAAAATCGATAATTTTTTTGTGTCTGAATTCTAAAAAAAAATGTCTCTATTTCAATCTATGTTTAGCCTCTATTTTTAGATTTTTGCTTCTATTCTTATTTCTTTAAATATATTTAACAGTTTCCATACTTTTCGGATAACGTGTAACTTATTATAGAACTGATTTTTTTCCCTTCAAATTCACTTAAAATATCCTTTAACATGGCTCATCCATTAATTCTTAACAAATAGACCTTGCAAATATATACAATCTGCATAATACATAACAATATGATAAACTATATGAAGAGTATTTTAAAATTGCTTACTAATGTTCCCGAAAAGAATTCTTTCAGAGCAGGTGTTGTGGCAAGAACCCACATCATTGTTCCCAGCACAATTCCACCAAGGAGCTGTTAAAAGAAATCAGAAGAAATGCATAAAATAAACTAAAAAACTAACAAGTTGCAAAAATGTTTATAACACTTATATTAAGAGTTTTAGAAAGTATTTTAATATTGAATCACAATCCGCGGGGGCCACTTTATACCACAGTTCTGTTCAGGAAGCTTCGCCATCATGTCAAAAAACATATTTCAATAGTACCTTTTATAATGGTTGAAAGGCTTGTTCATTTTGAGAAGCAGTTGTTTTTCTGGACTATACATATTTCGCCAGACAATTAGGAGGAGAAAAATTGATATAACAAATAATAATTTATAACCAATATTCTTTTTTGCATAAAATTTTTTTTTGGAAACTTTCTTAAACAGTATTCGAAAAATGATGATATAAGACGAACAAAGAATTTAATCTATAAAATATGCATGCAAAATAGAAATAAAAAAATGGGGGTTGTTCTCTCTTCTCATTCCTTACCACTTTAGTGATAAAGATCGTAACTATAGGGAAGGTCAAAAACATTTGCGATCCTCGAATTCGTCCATTGTTACTAAAGAATGCCGATTCTATCATTGTTGGTGCGTAAAAACAAAAATGTTTATTTTCTACTTAAAACAATTCCCCAATTTGATAGATGCTTATTTCAAACATAAGGGAGTGTAGCTTAGCAATGCAAAATAAATGAGAATACTATAATCATTGATATATTTCACTCCCAAGAGGTGTGTTCCACTTCACGAGGAACAATTCTGGCGGAACGTCTACATTGGTAATCGCATCACGATGCATGCAGTCACAATTTTTCAACAAGAAAATGAGGCATAGAAGCGTCAGCTACAAAGAATCTTCGAGCAAATAGGAATGGCGGCACTTAACGAAATTGAACTTCAATATAGATGTGGACTCAAAGGTGTAGACATCTCGAAATTGTTTAATAGAATTTTAACACCGAGTTTTAAAAAGGTTCTACGTACACTCGATAAGTACATACAAATGTTACTTTGTATCGTTATTATGAGCATTTTTAAGATTTCTCTAGTTGCGTTTGACCTGCCCGAACGCTAATTTACCATCCAGCGGCCTTTAACGACTTGTAGTGGGTCGCAATTATTGAAAGGCAGCTAAAAGACACTAATTTTGATAATGAATGAGAATTATTTTTTGAAATAAAGACCTAAAATAGTAAAATAGAATGATTTAAAATTGATGAAGATCAAATTCAGTTATTACAGAATATTACACACTTTGATAAATTCTTACGGTGTTAAGTGAGTAGCCTTTTCTGTGAGGAAGCACCCTGCCCCTTTTTATTTCTAAGGGAGAAGAACTCTTTTCACCACACTGCAACCGTCGTCGTATCGTAGATATTTAGTATTTTTAAGCCCCTTCATCAACATCTGGCCATTACGGCAGTACTAATTTTAGTAATCATACTTTTCATGAAAATCATGCTCCGGATATTGGATTCAGTCAAATGGACAACAAAATGAAATTATGATCGCATAATAGCATTAAAAAAAATTAATATCCGAAAAAACACTAAAGCAAAGGCATCCACTTCCGCAAGATAAAATCATCGCAAATTTATTAAATTTTCTAGAAACTAGAATAAATAGATTCTAGAAACAAATAACTACAAATACATCGAACTTCCGGATGAATGGACTGTTAAGAAGAACAAAATATGTGAATTTAATTTAATTTGATTGATCAAAATAAGAGAAATAATTCAATAAAAAGGTACCATAAGTCAATGTTTAATGACACATATGTGGTTTATAATCGAGTTCCGGGTCAATCACTCAAGAAATACATATATACCTAAAACAAACATCAAAAAAGTAGCCATCCACATTAAAAACTAGCATGGTTTTTAAAAGTCTAATTTTATTTACATTTAAAAAAAACTGTTGTTGTAATATTAATAATAATTTCAATAACGAAGACAAATTTCTACAAAATGCGCGAAAAAGGTTTGATAAATTATTTTCACTATTGATAGATTCGATTTTTTTGTTACAATAAAAATTCGCAAATGGAGTTCCTATGCAATAAATTTGAGTCAGAGTTCATGCGCCATACAAGCATCGCTGTTATGGCTGTTGTATTCTATAAACATCACAATTACTTTTTTTATGTTATAAACCTTTAGAACAAAAAACTATCGACGGTCCTCTTTTGAGTGGCCAGCTTTCTCTAAGTGATTTGAAACTGTTTGGCGACGGTAGTTCATTAAGCTATCACTATGCCGATTCATTTTATTTTATTTTATAACCGTCGTTGAACAGCCGACCCAATTTCATGGGTTTACGACTACTAATGTTCAACTCCGTAGCCTTGTAATTTTGAACCAATCCAGAAGACAAGGAAACTCCTGGATCAGTACCCCCAGAGGTATTGATTTGTTGTGGGAACATGGAGG